GGCTCATCCCAGGGAGCTGATTGAGTCCAACTTCTTATCCCTGTTCACTATGCAGTGTATATTATATATATAAAAAAAAACGGAATTGCCTAAATATTTGGCACACAATAACTTACAAAATCACAACTGTATCCACAGAGACACAAACCGTACCATAATGGCAACCAGGAACATATCAGGAAAGACACAATAAGTATGATAGTGATTTAATGGGTAACAAAAATCAGGCCCATACTGACACAGCAGGAACATGTTCCCAGAGACAAAATCAGTGCTGTACTGACATAACCAAAGACATCTCTAGAGAAACTCAATATGGTACTAGAACAGATAAAAGGCTATCTGCACAACCAAATTTGTACTGAAACGTAGACTTTTATTGTGCAGGAAAATTATTTCTACGTACTCTGCATACACTGATATTGTTTGTGGCTGATGCTATCCCATTAGTGATTGTAAAAGCTTGCCTTTCTTCAAAAATAACAAACGTATTTATGTAGCCCCACCTTTTAAAGAGCAGCTCAGTAACTTTTGAGTTTTCTGTTCTACACCTCGACTCAAGAAGAACTCCAAGAACATCTTCAGCCCCTCTGATACACCTGACTGAATAAAAATTACTGCAGGCAGGGGCAAGGCTTGGCACTCAATGAAAATGGCAGCTTAGGGAAGGACCCACAGCCTGGACCAGTGTGAGACCCGCAGTCTTCTCTGCTCTCCTGCAGGCTAACCAGACAACTGACATGGGCTAACTGACCAGGCATCCTTCTAGGACCCGCACCCACCGCTCATTCTCAGCCTTTGGAGCCCAGAGTTTTCCCAGTAACTTTAAAACTAGGTTGCACATGGACCACGGGACTCCAAGCAAGATGACACTGATTCAAAGAGAGGAGGATAACAGCAAAGGGTCCCAGTCAGCTTCAGAGGATCTGGTAAGAGCCACAGAAGCTCCAGATCACCCACTTATACTGTCTGCATTGAAAGCCATTGCGGCTGACATCAAAAATACTTTCTCTGTGAGCATCACTGAACTCAAGGCAGCCCTGGCAGAGAAATTGGCCTTAGTGGAGAAAGCAGATACCCAGAGGGATAAAGTGAACCTGAATCATGAGTCTGCCACTGAAACTCATGTAGCACACCTGATCGCCATAAACAAGCATCAGGAAGACCTAGATAACAGAAGCAGGAGGCAGATCATTTGGGTTAGAGGTATTCCTGAATTCATCAACCCTGATCAAATCTCCTCTGTCTTATGCTCAGTATTTAATAACTTGCTCAGCAGACCCACAGATACACCAATTGACTTTGTTAGAGCACACAAGGCATTGAAGCCGAAACCAAGTGAGTCCGCTTCACCTCTTGACATTATCTGTTGCTCGCATTGCTTTAGCTTAAAGGAAGAAATTTTGGCAATAGTTAAAGATCACAAGCTGATTACTTTTAATGAAAGCACGGTAACCTCATTTCAAGATTTATTCCCTATCACTTTGAAAAACCAAAGGGTCCTACACCCCCTGCTGGAATTTCTACTAGAAAAAGGCATCACTTACAACTAGAGGTTTCCTTTTGCATTACAAGCCACATATAATGGGAAGCAGTTTTACTTGAGGATGCCAGACCGCTATTAGAAATTCCAGAATGGTATGAGGAATTTTGCCAGCCAACTCTGACGCGGAGTCCTTCACAATCCTTTCATGAAAAACCCCCTCTTAAGAAAGGAAGATACAGTCAACATTAGGGATCGGGCTTTGACTGTTCATTTTCTCACCTTAAGCAGCAGAGATCCGGAGAGGATACCTGAATGCCTGTTTAATCCTAGATGGCTTTCTGCTTTCTATTTTTGTAGCTATGCAGTTGCCTCACTAGCTTTACGATGGAAGATTAGACTGCGATGATTCCCTGGCAGACATATAAATTCCCTCTGTTGCAGATACTTTACTCTTTTTTTTTTATTTTGGGACAATTGGAAGTACTGACCTTCCTTTTGCATGTGAAAGGTCATATGTCACTTATGAATAAAGACTGCAATATGTCCAATCTCTGTTTTACATGTACCAGTACTACTTCTATTACCTCTATTGTTTGCTGAAGCACTGACTATGGGCTTTTAGGATCCATTACCTGGGTCAGTCGCACTATAATTATCTGGCTATTTCTTTCCACTTCCAAACTAATATTCACATACTGCAAACACTAAGCCCTCTTTTCTCTGAGTGAACAGTTCATCACATTTACTAATGGTTTCCTTGTGTTTCTACTTTCCAGCAAACTCAGAGTTTTTTGTGAAAGGCCATCTTTTTTTTTTAAATTCTGCTGACCTAGTACCAATTTATTTGCCTCCTTGCCTGGAGTGGTATAATATAGTTTTGACACCCAGAGTTGACCCTATTGATATCTTGGGGCCTAGTTGACCCTACTTAATCAAAGTTTGCTGGAAGACCTTTATAGATGACACTCTTTAACCCCTTGATGCCGATGGCACACAAAAATGCGGCCTCACGGAACTGGGCTTTTTTCCGTGGGGCCGCATATTTGCGTACCTGTCTTTGTGCTGGGAGTGCGCCACTCGGCATGCTCCCAGCACTGAGAGCCCTAACGATCGGGACCCAGGACTCCCGATTCCGGGTCACGTGATCGCTGTGATAGCCTCTGATTGGCTATCACAGTGATCAGTCACTGTGCAGCCCGGCTCCCTTGTTATTTCTCTCTCTATGAATGGAGAAGAGAGATACATTATATCTCTCTGACTCTTGGCATAGAGAAAAAAAAATGTTTGTTAAAAAAAAAAAGAAGATAAATAAATATTAAAAAAGAAAAGAAAAAATAAAGAAAAATACCTAGATCAAGGTTTGATCTAGTTCAGTGCCAGGGTTAGTGGTTGGGTCAAGGTCAGGGTCAGGGTCAAAGGTCAAGGTCAAAGGTCAGGATTAAAAAAAAATGGTATCAGTGTCAGTTAGTGTTAATGTCAGTGTCAGTGTGTTTTAGGTAAAAAAAAAAAAAAAAGTCAAAAACAAAATGTGCACTATTGTTTCTGGGCTGTACTACAGGTACAAACAACAACATAACATATCGCTGCGATCATCAAGAGATGGAGAATTTATTTTGGGTTGTTCTTTTGGTGGTAGGTTATGGTCATAACAAGAAACACACAGCTAAATAAAAAAAATTATTTTGTTTACTATTTTGGGCCAGTTTTCCTTTGATAATAAAAAAAAATTAGCAGCTATCCATTACCATTTACCACCAAATGAAAGCCCAATTTGTCCTGAAAAAATTAAGGTATAATCCACCTGGATGTACAAAGTAGTGATGATATGTACGGTTTTACTATGACATGTCAACGTTGCAGAATTGTGCTTAGGCATTTAGATTTGTTTTACCCTTAGGCATGAAGGGGTTAACATTACATTGGAATCATTACCTCGATGACAAGAGCTCTTTGGTTTAACACTATAGCAATTTGATCGACTGTTTGCAACTGGTCAGTTATCTCTACCTATTACTATATCTTTCAGACATATAATTAAGGGTGCAAGAAGAAATGTGTAAAGTGACTTGTGATATCGCCATGTGTAAATACATATATATATATATATATATATATATATATATACAGTGGGGCAAAAAAGTATTTAGTCAGCCACCAATTGTGCAAGTTCCCCCACTTCAAAAGATAAGAGAGGCCTGTAATTGGCATCATAGGTAGACCTCAACTATGAGAGACAAAATGAGAAAAAAAAATCCAGACAATCACATTGGCTGATTTGGAAAGAATTTATTTGCAAATTATGGTGGAAAATAAGTATTTGGTCAATATCAAAAGTTCATCTCAATACTTTGTTATATATCCTTTGTTGGCAATGACAGAGGTCAAACGTTTCCTCTAAGTCTTCACAAGGTTGGCACACACTGTTGCTGGTATGTTGGCCCATTCCTCCATGCAGATCTCCTCTAGAGCAGTGATGTTTTGTGGCTTTGCTGGGCAACACAGACTTTCAACTCCCTCCAAAGGTTTTCTATGGGTTTGAGATCTGGAGACTGGCTAGTCCACTCCAGGACCTTGAAATGCTTCTTACAAAGCCACTCCTTCGTTGCCCGGGGATCATTGTCATGTTGGAAGACCCAGCCACGTTTCATCTTCAATGCCCTTGCTGATGGAAGGAGGTTTGCACTCAAAATCTCACGATACATAGCCCCATTCATTCTGTCCTGTACATGGATCAGTCGTCCTGGTCCCTTTGTGGAGAAACAGCCCCAAAGCATGGTGTTGCCACCCTAATGCTTCACAGTAGGTAAGGTGTTCTTTGGATGCAACTCAGCATTCTCTCTCCAAACACGACGAGTTGTGTTTCTACCAAACAGTACTATTTTGGTTTCATCTGACCATATGACATTCTCCCAGTCCTCTTCTGGATCATCCAAATGCTCTCTAGCAAACTTCAGACGGGCCCGGATATGTACTGGCTTAAGCAGGGGGACATGTCTGGCACTGCAGGATCTGAGTCCCTGGCGGCATAGTGTGTTACTGATGGTAGCCTTTGTTACGTTGGTCCCAGCTCTCTGCAGGTCATTCACTAGGTCCCCCCGTGTGGTCCTGGGATTTTTGCTTATCGTTCTTGTGATCATTTTGACCCCACGGGGTGAGATCTTCATATGACGTCCTCCCATTCTAACCACGCATGCGCGGCTCTGGGGAGCGTGCAGCGTGGCGATCGGTGGTGCGCTGTGTCCCTCGGACACAGTGGATCACCGATCAATGGAAAGAGCCGAAGATGTCGGCTCGGTCATGTGATCAGCTGTGTCCAATCACAGCTGATTACATGTAAATACGGAAATGCCGGTTATTGGCATTTCTCTTCTCTCGAGCTGTCACAATGACAGCTCGAGAGGAGAATAGAGCGGGTGATCGGCATTCCTCAGAGGGGACATGTACACTGGTCATCAGGGCACTGATGATCAGTGTAGCCCCAGCAGTGCCACCTGTCAGTGTCCATCAATGCCATCTGTCAGTGCTCATCAGTGCCACCTACCAGTGCTCATCAGTACCACATCAATGCCACATATCAGTGCCTACCAGTGCACATCAATGCCACATATCAGTGGCCATCTGAGCTGCCTTTCAGTGCCATCTATCAGTGCCAGTCAGTGCCACCTATCAGTACTGCCAGTCAGTGCCACCTATCAGTGCCACGTATCAGTGCTGCCTATCAGTGCCAGTAAGTGCCACCTAACAGTGCCAGTCAGTGCCGCCTATCATTGCCACCTATCAGTGCTGCCTATCAGTGCCATTTATGAGTGCTGCCTTTGAGTGCCCATCAGTGATGCCTGTCAATGCCCATCAGTGCCACCTACCAGTGCCTCCTCATCAGTGCCACCTATCAGTGCCCATCAGTGCCCATCACTGCAGCCTCATTAGTGCACATCAGTGAAGGAGAAAAATCACTTATTTACCAAATTTTAAAACAAAAACTAAGAAAAAACGTTTTTTTCCCCAAATTTTCAGTTGTTTTTGGTTTGTTTAGCAAAATATAAAAAAACCCAGAGGTAGTTAAATACCACCAAAAGAAATCTCTATCTGTCTCAAAAAAATTATAAAAATGTCATATGGGTACAGTGTTGCATGACCGCACAATTGTCATTCAAAGTGTGACAGCGCTGAAAGCTGGAAATTCGCCTGGGCAGGAAGGGGGTATAAGTGCCCTGTAGGCTAGTGGTTAATCCATCTAGGTCCTTCAGGACAAGATCTTTAAATACAAGTAAACAAGGAAATAAATTAGTCAGGGGATTAAACAGAGAGGAGTTTGATAATTTGGAATGCGTGACCTGAGGTACAATCTTTCTAGAGTCACGTATAGGGTTTGACAACAAGTATCTTTTGACATTTAATTTCCGTACATACTTCTGCACATTTATGAAAGTTTGAAATTTATTGAAAGGTATGCTGCTTACACTGGCCAATGTGTATATTCCCAACATGATGCAGACTTCTTTTTGTAGAAAAAGTGTTGAAGAACCTAAATGGTTTTCCTCTTGATGCACTCTTTTACGTGGGGATTTCATTGTACCCCAAGACCCCTTACAAGACATGTCCATGGGAAATCCAGCATACAATACCAATTCTTAAAAAAGATTAAATCGTTGCTTCACTCCCTATTCCTCTTGGACCCATGGCAGATGGCCCACCCATCTAGCAGGGATATTACGTTCTTTTCTATGCTCCATAAGAAATACTCATGCATAGATTACATTTTTATATCTCAGAGAGATCCCCCAATCCTACAGGAAGTGCACATAGGCATTCAATCCATTTCGGGCCTTGCCTCATCTCGGTTACTCCCAATTTTGCTGGGCCAAAGGTGAGGTAATGTTCTCGAAGATTAAATTAAATACAACTTTGCTAAAGGACCCTGATTCACCTGCTGTCAGGAATGAACTCACCACTGGTGGTGCTGTGGCTCACTTGCTCTGTGGGCTGCAGTACCAGCTCCTACCAGAGGGTGCTTTCAGCAGCCAGGGTCTCACTCCTGCAATCAAGCCATCACCTGAGGCTTATTGCAGGAGGTCTATTTAAGCAGGACCAGGCCTGCAATTAGTGCCTTGTAGTTTTTCTCATGAGCCCCTGTACCTGGTATCCTGTGAATCTTCTGTTGCCAACCTCTGCATTGTTCCTGACCCTGCTGACCATCTCCTGTTTAACCCCTGGCTTGCCTGACCATCCTTCTGCCTGATCCTCTGTACCGCGCTGCCCGTGAGTTACTGAATCCGGCTTGTGACCCTGACCATTCTCTGCCTGCTCCTCCGGTACCTCGCTACCCGCACGTTGCTGACCTGGCCTGCCTGACTACGCCTTACGCTACCCAGACGATCCATCCATCCCGCACGGATCTGTCCCTGTTACCAGGTCTGCCAGCCTCTTCACGTCAGGCTCCTTTCCCCGCACACCTCTGACGACGCTCTCTACCATTTCCGGACGTACTCAGGGGTCGCGACCTGGTCTCAGTCTGCTCCAAGTCCATCCCCACCATCAGGGGCCCTGGTGAATAAGCAGATTGGGACTTAGACCCCGCGTCCTGAGGAACCCTGTGCTGTGGGCTGCTAGAGACATCGCCAGGCGGTGCTTAACAGTGCCAAACGGCCTGCCTGACCATTCCACCTCCCCAGCCCTGACTACAGCTGTGTTCCCACACATTTCTGGTTATACCCGGATCCCTAACACCTGCATTGGCGACAATGAACCTACAATCATATTTTGCCAGTAATGATGAGCTCTCCCCATTAACCATCTGGGAGGCACACACATGTCTACTGAGGTGCGAATTTAATAGCTTAGATTCTCAACATAAAAAAGGTTGCGGAACAAAAAATTACAGATTTGGCTTCTAAAATAGCATATTGAGAACTGCTCTACAAACAGCCCACTGGAGATCACATAGCCACAGAACTTTTAGAGACTATGCAGGAACTTCAACAACTGTTAGATCTGAAAGCTAAACAATCCCTTTTTCATAGAAAAGGAATTTTTTACTAGCATGGAGATAAAACGGGCAAATACTTAGCGAAAGCACTGAAGGACCTTAACATGTCTTCTAATATTTTAGGTTTAAAATCATCCTCTGGGGCATTGGAGCACTCTACAGAGAAAATTGCTTCAGAATTTCACAGCTGTTATACCAAGCTATAAAATCTCCCTCTAATGCATAGTCCGCCATCTTCTCAGGGTGATAGACCTCAAATCTTTTGTGATTATTTAACACAAAGTAGTATGCCTACACTTTTTAAATCAAATACTGAATCGCTAAGGAAGCCAATCAAGGAAGATGAGTTGTTATTAGCCATCAAGGATTTAAAACCTGGCAAACACCGGGGCCCTGATGGCTTTACCTCTCATAAGTACAAAATGTTTACTTCATCCCTCCCCATCTGCTGCCTTAACCTTGGCTCAGCAAAATAATTCCTTTAAATGGATCCCACAAGTGCTGAAATAACTGGGTATTTGGCTTAGCCCTGATTCACAAGAAAATCTTTGTGATGAACTACAAACCCCTACTATGTCAAATAGGAAGACATTTTTCCAAATGGACCCTTAAGACCTTTTCATGGTTCAGCCATGTGGCTATAATTAAAATGGCCATTCTACACAGGTTGTTGTATCACTGTCATACATTACCCATTATTGTTCCTTCTAGCTTTTTTAAACAATTAAATGCTACAGTCTGGAAATTCCTTTGGACGGGAAAGAAGCCCTGTATTAGTCAATAATACCTGATGGTCCCTAAACTGAAGGGAGGATTGAGTTTCCTTCATTTCTGGTAATATTACCTTGTGATGCACTTGGCTTGAATAGTCGACTGGCATTGCCACAGCACTAATAAAGATGGGGTTCATTTGGAAGCAATCTCTACTATGATACCTTTGAAATACTCCCCTTGGATAATGTGGTCAAAATCCCCTCCTAATCTTAAATGCCACCCACTGATCGGTGCTACATTAGTAGCCTTCCATGATGCTGTCCGCCATGCGCTTACCGAACTTAACTTCTCCAGGCCCATTGACATCTTTAAACAATGACCCAGATTTCCCTCCTGGTTTAAACACTGCATTGGCCGATCATACCCCCTTACTAGCATTTCATTGTGTGAAGGACAGGAGCATTTTATCATACGACAGGTTGTTGGGTGTTATTGACCTCGCTGTTTGCACACCTTGGTCACATAGTTGGACAAAACCACTTCTCCCCAATCCTCCTCTTCTGGGGTCCCCTGCTGGCACTCCTGGCTCCTCCTCCTGCTGAGTGCCCCCACTTGCATGTGCATAGGGGGCACAAGGGGCCCTGCCCCCCTGCTCTCTCCTCACTGTCTGTACTTGCCTTTAGAACCACTTTAATTTCTTCAAGTGGGAGAAGATGGGAGACAGCCATTAGGCATTAGTGATTGCACCCAGCTAATAATGGCCAGCCAGTCTTCATAGCAAGATAGCATTAGATATGGTGCTCTATGAGCCTATAAATTAAAATGGGGAAGCAGGGCATACAAACTGGACCCTGGTAGCTTTGGTGCCCTCAACCATGGCCTATATGGCCTAGGGAGGAATCCAGTCCAGGATACTGAAGTACATACAAAACATCAAAAGCTGCTGGATACACCAAGGACCATGAGCACTGTGTTAGTTCTGGGCGGTCTGGGCAGTGAATAGTTTTTTTGTCTGTCAATGTGCTGCTCAGAGTGGGGCAGATTCAAGAGATTGCACTGAAAGATATGCCTGCCTTTTAAACAATATTCAACTGCACTGACTCTAAAGTAACTACAGACAGGGCAAGCACCCCTGGACACTGCCCAGAGGGCCCACGTGCACATGGAGCCCCATCCAGGCTGGCTCTGACCTAAAGGGATGCTGCTGGAAGTGTTGAGGTCAGGTGGTATGGTAACTGTTACTGCACTGCACATGAGTAACTCTAGTTACTAGGTGACTGAGTGAGCACCAGCCCAGCAGCATCTTCTGCCTGCCATCTCTGATCAGTGCAGGCGGTTCCATCTCCCCTAGTCGGGAGTCCATGGCTGGGAGCTGGTGCACATCTCCATCCTCTCTCTGACCATTGCCAGATGCTCTACCTCCACCCACTGCACTGAGAGTGGGTGCACAGTGCACTGTGAAGTCTGTTGCTGTGCCAAACCTCTTACTCAATATCTCACTCTCACAAATTCTGTGACTGAGATATTGACAGACATGATTTGGAATGAACAGCACTGGTGCTACAGAGGCCCAGGATTTTTGTCCCCCCTCTTTGTAATCCAGCCAATCCCTGCTGGGCCTGCATCGAATGCCCAACCCATGCAAGACTGCTAAATTGGTGAGTGAGTCCACTGTCCAACCCCCCCCCCCACCTTGACAATTGCATATGTCCCCCCTCTGCCACTCCTCTGAAAAGCAATCCACACATAGATTGCTTTTCAAATGCATTTACCAGGTGATGAGGAGGCGATATGTCACCTTCTTACCACCTTTTTGAACTCCCTAAATGCAGCATCACCCCCACCACAACTATGTGCATTGCACGCGATTATGGGGAAGTTGCAGCGCAGACCCTTTTATTTGAATGGGTTGTGTTTGGTGAGCGGCAGTGCCCACAAAACTCAACTGGGGATATAATTCTATTCTAGCCACAGTCAGGAAGCAAAGCATCGTGGCTGCAGCTTGTGTATACCCCCAGCTGCATGAAGTACTTTTTTTTCAGCATGCATCATTGCAATTGGTGAATTACATTGAACTGGGTGAACCGAATATGCCAGAGATAAGGCATTCTGCTTTGTTATGAGGTGGGACTGTGCTGGAATAGCCACCCAACGCAGTCCCACCGCATCTGGTGTGAATGTACCTTAACCACTTGCCACCCACCCGCAGTAGTTTTGTTGATGGTGGGTGGCACAAGCGGGTTGCCACCTGTCTTTTGGGTTAATAAACAGGTTTCAGCCTATCATTTTTGATAGGCACACAGTTAACCCCTTGATTGCCCCTATATGTTGTAAAGAGCTGAGCAAACTGTTGGCGCTATATA